TCTGGCCAAGGGTCACTTGCAGACGCACGTGCTCCATGAGGGCATCCAATCCGCGGCGCTGCAGGCCAAGCCGTCCGCCAGCGTAGATGGCTTTCTGCCAGTAGTGCTGCACTTTAGTGGCTACTCAATAGTAGTGATATTTTTCTATGGGTTTTGTAGTATAGGCCTCACTGGCCCAAACCTCGTCAGATTTAGACGGCTCGGCAGTCTTTTGAGATCCCTCCAACTTCCCTGGGCCGTGGTCGGGGACTGGAACATTTCGCCACAGGCCCTCACGGCCTCAGGGTTTTTGCAGCAAGTAGGAGGCGAGATCAGATGTGCCGATGTCGAGCACACATGCGATCCTGGGGGAGGGCGTAAGCCATCGCATTTGGACTTTGTTGTGCACTGCGCAGCTGCTCGTGCGTATGTCTCTCAGGTCACGGCGGTCCACGACGTGCCGTGGAAGCCACATCTAGCTTTAAGAATTCGTTTCGTCGCTGAGGGTGAACAGTTGCTCACACGCATTGTAGACCTTCCCAGGCGGCTCCCGAGTGTCACTCGTCCTGCTCAGGCTCCCACCCCAGGCTCCAAGTCTAGCTTAGCGAGAGCCAAGAGGACCGAGCAGGCTGCAAAGGCAGCCGAACGTAAAGATAAACTTCACTCTGTCTTAGTCGGAGATTTGTGGACGGCCACTGCTAACACTGAGCTCGATGGCCAGTCCACTTGTGCTGATGATCCGTCAGACTGCGAGTCCCAGGATGGTTTCGAATCCGAGGAGGACCCGTGGACCGACGAAAGTGTTTTTCAGTGTCGTCGCGAGCCGCTGGCCGACCCAGTCCAGGCGCCGAGCGATGAGAAAGACCAACCTTCGGCCCTCGCCTCCCCCCCCCCTCCCGAGCCTGCCCGCATCGACGTCGCATCGTCTCACTCAGCCCAGTGTGAGAACCCCCACAGACCTGCTGAATCCCAGGGGACGGAGTCGGCCAGCACAGGTAGCACCCAGCAGCCTAGCTTTGATATCCCGAGTGAATTGTGGACGGAACACCGTTTTCAAATAGGTCTTCTGCCCCCCCACTCCACTCGGCCTGCCGCTGCTGCTGCCTCGTCCGTCGCCTTTTCGCTCAAGCCTGACGCCTCTTGTCAGCTCGGGCAGCTTTACGGCTCCTGGGCGGCCACTGTTGAGGCCACCGTCCACGCGCACCATAGTCAGGTCTTCCTCGGCGGCTCGCGCGCAGCAGGTCCCGAGTTCAGAGTAGTGCCCGTTCGTGAACAGCAGAGTAAGAGGTGCGCGGCACTCCGAGATCTCAGCAGCTCGTGGTGGACCAGATTGCACACCCTCCTTCAGAACATCTACCGTCACAAGGCGCGGGGCAACGGGCAACGGCAGCTGGACCAGCTCTACGCGTGTGTCGACAAGCTCACGGCCGACGCACCCCGTCAGGTACCAGGCCACCTTCGACCACGGGACGGTGCACGGTGGGAACAGTGGGTCGACATCCTTGGCCGTATCCGCACCGCCGCCGACACCGAGGTCGTCTCCTACACCAGCAAGGCCGCTGCTGTCGCGCGTCGCGCACAACAGCGGGCAGTCAGGAAGTCACTCCACGACTTCCGCGAGTGGGCTGTCACGGAGCCTGCCATCGGAGCGCTGCATCGATCTCTGCGGCCACAGCCGCAGCCTGCAGAGTCCGTCTCCACCGAGCAGGGCACCATCGTCCACCCACGCGACTTGATAGATCGGAAGGTCAGCTCCTGGACGTCGCTGTGGGCGCCGAGGGCCCCCGACAGGGCCGGCCTGGCTGACCTCTTCGAGGCCATTCGGCGACGCGTCCAGGAACGTGGCCTGCCACCGCTTACGGCGCGGGACGTGCGCCGTGGGCTCAGACGGCAGCGAGCGTCCACTGCGATGGGAGCCGATCGGCTCAGGCCGACCGACCTTCTTCGGCTACCAGACGCTGCGCTGGAGGAGCTTGCCACCATCCTCAACCTGGCCGAGCAGACCCAGGCATGGCCACATCAACTCCTGCTCACGCTGGGAGTCATGAGGGCCAAGAAGGATGGCGGCGATCGCATCATCGGACTTTTACCTGAGGTGGCGAGGCTGTGGTCTATGTGCCGCGAGGATGCAGTCCAGGAGTGGAACAAGGACTGCTTCGCCCACTGGGACGCCGCAGCCAAAGGGAATCCGGCCCTACGCGAGGCGTACCAGCGCGCCTTGCAGGAGGAGCTCGCTGCGTACGTCCAGGTCTCCCAGGCCCACGGCTTGCTGGACGTCGCGCAGTTTTATGATAGTATAGATTGGTGTCGACTCGGGGAGGAGGCGCTGGAGGTTGACTTCCCTGCCGAGGTCCTAGGCCTCGAGATTCTCCAGTGCACGGCGCCTCGCATCCTCACGCAGAGCGGTGCATGCGCGCTGGGCATCTTCCCCAGTCGCTCTGTGGTGCAAGGCCTGAGGTCAGGCACCAGGTTCGCCAAGGTGATGACCTTCAGGGCCCTCAAGAAGGTCACGGAGGTTCACTGGCGGCACACGCACCGCATATGGATCGACGACCTCTCCCAGCGCATGCAGGGCTCGCGGCGCGCCTTACGGAAGGACATGGTGAGGTGCCTCACCGACACGTGCGAGGAGCTGGCCGAGAGGGGCCTCACCATCGCCAAGAAGAGCGTCATCATCTGCTCCGAGATGGATGACGCGAAGTACATAGCTCGAGCCATGAACAGACGTGGCTATCCCATCCAGTACAAGAGTCAGGCCAGCTACCTGGGCACGGACCTCGGCGCGGGGACACGGCATGCTCGGGCTAACCGCACTCAGCGGCGAGCACGGCATGGCCTCATGCATCGGAAGATCGTACGGTTGGCTCGGGCTACCCGAAGATACCGTGTCACAAGCCGGCTTGCCCAACAGGGCGGGCAGGCTGCGGGAGCGTACGGCCACCAACTCCATGGCGTGTACGGCACATCTTTGACGCTGTTCCGACGGCGACTTGGCGACGCCGTCGGCCCGCGCCTCCCTGGACGTTGTCTGACCACCCTCCTTGACCTCAAGGCAGGAGCTCGTGACCCAGCTCGGCGATTCCCACGAGAGGCCGTACAAGCATGGTTGGAGCATTGGGTGCAGGCTGGGCCGCTACAGAAAACAATACAATTCACGTGGCGCAAGGTTGTCGACAACTTTCGCGCTATGCCAGTTCAGCATCGTGTCCGACACGTACGAGGACCTCAGTCCGCTCTCGTGCTCTACCTGCTTGAGAATGGCTGGGACCCTGTAGCACCCAACGAGTGGCGGTTGCCAGTGGCGCTGGCAGACGGCACCGACACATGGGAGTTCAAGACGGAGGCACTGTCAGGGATACCCGCTGTGGACATCCCCGAGACGCTGCTGGACGACCTGGACAACAGTATTCAAGACAGATACTGGCACCAAGCCAGCAAGCATCGAGGCGGTGGCGGCATGGAAGAAGGAATTGATAATCATTCTTACCGACGGCTGCTGCGCTACCTCGAGACTATGGAAAATGGACCGCGCCTCGCAGCGCTCATGCTGGCCATCGCTACTGGTGCCATGTGGCCCAAGGCCCGCGTCAAAACCGAGGTCAAGGGCGCCGACACCGACGGCTACTGCGAGCGATGCGGGGAAGCAGAAGAGACGGAGTTTCATCGGATATGGCAGTGTCCATGCAGAAAGGAGTGCCCGATCTACGAGGCCACGGACAGCCTCATCACCCAGGCCACGACCCAGCAGCACATGTTCGAGTGCTACTGGACGCGAGGGCTTTTACCTCGCAGCTGGACCCGTCTACCACCACCAGCTGATCACGCGAGCTGGCAGGTCGACGGCGCCGACGCCTATGGCCCAGGGTGTTTCGGTCGCGGCCAAGGCGAGCCCATCTATGTCTTCGGTGACGGCAGTGGCGGCGGCGACACCTCCAGTGTTCCCATGCGCCGCGTCGGCGTGGCCATCGCCGTTTTCCACGACCTGGACAGGAACGGCATGGAGTTGCAGGGCGCAGCATGGGGGCCACTGCCAGGAGGGCGACAGACCGTCATTCGTGGTGAGCTCATGGCCCTACTGATGGCTGTTACCACCACGGTGGGCGACCTGGTCTACTTCACCGACAGTGAGGGTGTGTATCTCAACTACCACAACGGCCACTTGGAGGCGCCCGAGGGCGCCGATGCTGATCTGTGGTACCGCCTTCGTGAGGCTGTTCGAGAGCGGCAAGCAGATGTGGTTGTTCTTTGCATTCGGTCCCATATGACTGAGACCGACATCTGTGCAGGTAAAATCAGCAGCTCACTAGCCTACGGCAACACCGTCGCGGATGAACTAGCCGCGGGAGCGGCTCGTGAATGCAGGATCCCCAAACACATCCGACAGCAGTATGCCAGAGTTGAGCAGCAAGCGTTCACGGTGAGGATGAGGATCCTTAGGGCCCACTTAGATGCTCTCGAGGCCGATAGAATAGCACACCCAGAGGGCCCGCGTCGTAGGAGGCCGAAGCCTAAGGCTTCAGCCAAACCGCCAGCCCCCGCTGTTTGTGCAATGTTTGCATCACAACATACCCTAGACAGTACGGGTAGTAGGTGCAGTAGGTGTCAGAACTCCTCCACCCAGGCCCGTAGGACTGAATGGCTTCGCACCAGTTGTTATGACCTTGTGAATGTTGATGGCACCTATATGAGACCCCCCCTCGGGATGCAGGTACATGTGGCAGGGGGATTTGCTCATTTAACCCATCGTTTAAGGTTCCACACTGGGCTGAAATTATGGTTTTGTGCTCACTGCGGGGTAATAGCCACCCAACGCCTCAGTAAATTAGCTGAGAAGTGTGAGGACCCCACCCCAACAGGCAGGGAATATTTAAGACGAATCAATGCTGGGCTCTGGCCCAAAGTCCTCAGTCGAGCTGAGAAGGCCAAGAGACAAGGCAACCCACGGTAGGTTGCGGCGGAGTTGGATTCACATCGCTACGCGATCAGGCAGAGTCTCCAGAGTCTCCCTCCCTCCCTCCCTCCCTCCCTCCCTCCCTCCCTCCTCCCCCTCCTCGTATACCGCGCAGTTCGCTCCCCCGCCCATGGGGCGCCCTGCTCTCGGCAGCCCCGGGGTTTTCTCCATCCTCGCGGGCCTCCTCGGGGGCGTGGGGGCCTTTTTTTTCTCGGCCGAGAGAGGAGGTGCTTCGACCTTGAGTGCGAAGCTGCCAGATAGCGAGCTGCGTTCTCTTCCTCGGTGCCCCACAGACGGCGAGATGTTCTCGCCGCCTCCTGCCGGAAGTGACGAGAGGACGCTCGTCCCGCATGTCGAGGGCTGGCGTGCCAACAGTATCATGTGCTAGATGATTGAGCATTATGACAGGGTCCATCAAGTCCCACAGGTTTCCCAGGCTCCGTGTGCTGAGTTACAGAAGGAACTGAGAAGGCGGCTTTGAGGCATCACCGTTTTTCCGGTTTCCTGGCTAGTATATTGCCCTCTCGAACGAAGTGCTGGATTCCTCCCGCGCGTCAGGTGGTGCTGATCAGTGAATTTTCCCGTCTTGTGGTGTCAATCAAAGATTGCCCGGGCACGCATAGGAATTAGCACGCCCACGAACTGGCTGTGATTCGTGGTGTGCTCCTAAATGTTTCCGCCGGGCGACTCTCCGTTGTGCGCCCGGGCGTCCCAGCGCCTCTGGAGACTCGTTGGTTCATCATTCATGAGGCCCTGTGTTTCGGGATACCTTGATTCGACTCGTTCCCCCTTTGCCCACTGGTTGGCCCCAGCGCAGTTTCGTGGACAAGGTTCTCATCAGTATATCCCCTTGGGTCTCGGCAGAACACCTCCGCGCCATTGCAGCGCCCCTCGATGTCGGTCTTGGTGCTTTCATATCTATGATGATTAGCGGTTCGTTATCGCAGGTTTCGGCCATGCAATACGTGGGGGCGCGAGCGGGTGCACTCGCCGAGCGTGCCGTCAAGGTGCGAGCGTTGCTTGTGCAGCTGATCATCCAGGAGCCCCGCCTCTTTCATGGTCGTCTGACTCCTCCTTCGCCTCCCCTCCTGCTCTTCCTCCTTCTCCTCCTCCTCTTCTAGTGCAGGCCGCGCGTCAGAGATCTCCGCGCTGGCGGCCCGCGTATTCCGACGCGTGGAAACGCTACTTCATCATGCGTGAAACCATTTCCTTCTCGCTGCTCAGGCGGCCTTGCGCAGTGGAGGTTCAGCTCGGGATCCCTCGCTTATCCTTGGGGCCCCGCCCCACCCCTTCAGGGCCCCAGTTTTTGACCCGCAAGCTCCCCGGCAGCGGCGCCCTTGCGCCGCGAGCGCCCCTGGCGCACCCGGCAGAATGGGGGGGCGGGGAGGGAAGCAGGGTGCGCGGCCGCCCGGACCAATGGCACCAACACGAGCCCGTGCGGATGTTTTCACGCGTTCAACGCACCTGCGGTAATCAGCAGCAAAAAAAAGAAAACGCACGCCCCGCAAAAAGAAGCAAACGCCTCGCTAAAATCAGGGGCTGCGCGCGCTACGCCCCGCAAAAAGAAGAAAACGAATTGACGGTGGCACAGGGCGCCAGGAGTCTTTGCGGGGGGGGGCTGGGGAGGCGGCGGAGGCGGGGAGGCGAGGTGCGTATGTTTAACAGGGGTCGGAAAGAGAGAATTCGATCGATCGCGGATTTGCTTCCCGGGGCCCCGCCTTTGCGCCACTGGCGCACATCGCCGCTGATTCGATGCGTATGGAGTAACACGAATGTATGGGAAGCCATACGGGAGATCATACATGAGACCATGCGGCAACTTATGTGGGAGACTATACGGGAGAGCATGGGGAAGACTATACGGGACACCAGATGGCAAGCCATGCGACGATTTGGAAAGCCACGCGGGAGACTGCATAAGGGAGACCCTAAGGGAGACCATACGGCAAGCCACGGGCCACCGACTTCGAGTCCGGCGAGGCTCACATCCAGCCTTCGAAGAAAGCATAGACAGATCTGTCTACTGGAAGGACAGAGGGACACCCGTTATCTTGAACATCTACGTGATGTTGATCCCGAGCCGTCCAGGTGGAAGGGGGCAGGGTTGCTCAGCCGACTCCCGTCTTCCTCAGGGCGGTCTTGAGGCTTGTGAGACGACGAGGTCGCCGAATGTCCCAGTGGCGAGGCGAGGCATGAGCTTGCGCAATCACTTGGGCCAGGCTCTCGAAACCTACTCCGCCCCTTACAAGACCAGAAGAAACAAGGTGCACCGAAGCTACACATCGGAGTGGCTGGTTTAGCGCAGACCCTTGCCCGGCGTAGCCGTCAGCAGCTCTACAGCCGACGGCATGTTGTCCATCCGCGTCGTCGGCCGCTATTGTTTCTTATGGGCCTTGCTTTTGAGAAGGGTAACCCAATCGTCTTGAAGTGCGCAACGGTACGATACCATACTTAGCACCATACTTGAGCAAAGGGGGCTTGCCCGTCTACACGGACCTTGATCGACTTCTGAAAGATCGCTGCGCTGTCTAAGGTGTCAGCTTGGTATCTCGGGGTCCGGGGGGTCCAAAACTTCGACCACAGGCCTTCCCCCACTTTCCCTCCCCATACCCCTTCCCAGGAGGATTGGTGGGGAGAAGGGGGGGACAACGGGGAGGAGAAGAGAGGAAGGCACCGGTGTCGCTGCGAGATCAGAAATAAACGTGACGTCCTTGGTCCAGGGACATCGCGGGTCGGGCCGGCGCGGGGAATGACTTCTTCAGGGGGGAGGGGGCGTCTCGGTGAGATCTTCCCCCCCCTCCTGGAGCCTCCCTGCGTATCGTCCCGACCAGTCCTTCGAGCCGAGGTCGGCCTGTGCAGCGAGCGAGTACAAAAGCGGCTACAGCGGAGGAGATGGCACGCTTGGAGTGGACTCGGGCAGAGGAAAAGCTGGTTGTCTGTTGCCGATTCACGGGTGGGCGTGCAGTTTTTCGGGATGGGTGCGTATGGAAAGAGCAGCGTCGGGCGTCGGGGCAGTTGTTAATCAGGGTCCGTTAGTTCTCCTCTGACTTTCAGTCAGCCCAGGTCGCTGGCCTTCCACGCCGTATCTTCGAGGACTTCTTTGGGCCCTTCGGAGGTGTCTACGAGATGCGCGGTCCGCCGCTGATGAGCAGGGCGAGGTTCGAGCAGCTCGAGATCCACTCCTCCTCGTAGTCGTCGTCGTCCTCCTCCTCCTCCTCCACCTAGGTTCGAGCAGCCAGAGAATGTCGTGCACAGAGCCCTCTTCAGGGACGACAGCGCCATCGGCTGGTCTCAGGACGTGGGCATCTGGGTCTGGAATTGGGGCGCTCGCTCTTTGTGGCAGGGAGGCATCTTCAGCAGAATTGTAGCGGTGACCTTGGCCGCTTGCTTCTGGGCTCCGTGGTTGGTGGCATTCGCCAGCATCCCGCAGCTCTCCTTTCTGGCCGCGCCCTCGCTGATGCCTGCCGCAGTGAAGGGCGCTTACTTGCGACGCTTCCCCGCCTGCCTCCTGACACTGGACCAGCTGATCGCCGCTCACAAGCAGTATGGCCGCCAGCTGCCGGAGGTCTACCAGGCAGAAGTGGAGAGCTACAACAGCAAGCTGGAAAGGTACGACACTCAAGCCGAAGCTGACGGGGATCCTGCCACGATTGAGACGGGTGAGGTGAATGGCGCCAGCCGGCGGCGCCACCCAGGCCAGTAAGGATGCGGGCTGCGGGTATTTGACAGGTTGCCGAATAGGCGGCCCTTCAGTGCATGGTTTGAATTTGGACTTCCCTGGCATGCAGCTTCCCTACAGTACTGATCGCCGCTGCAGGTGAAAATGCAACTAACCCTTCGTTGGTCGAGCGATGCTCTGAGGAAGGGCCAAACTGAAATGAGGAGGAGAGAGTCACCCCTCTATGGTGTCGGCCAGGACGGTCCCGGATGGGTCAGCCGCCCCCGCTATACGGACAGAGGAAGACGAAAGAGACAGAGAGAGAGAGAGAGAGAAAGATACAAAGAGAGAGAGAGAGAGAGAAATGGAGGAAGGCAGGGAGGGAGGAAGAGAGAGAGAGAGAGAGATAATGCGAGACAGAAACACAAACAACACCACCAGCAGCAAACATAAGCATCAGGTTAAGACTATTGGCTCTTATCTGCTCGCGTGCCATTCAACACATCTATCCCGAACCCTCGGTGCCCGCCCTCTTCGCCTTCGATCGTAACCCCTGTGGTGGTATATCTTCCTTGCCTACCGCGTGTATTTAGCGCAGCCCCTAAAACAGGGGAAGAGAGAACGAGTGGAAAGGGGAGGGCGAAGAATGGAGCACGAGAGAAATTAGCAGGAGGGGGCTAGGAGCAGAAAACACATGGCAGAACAAGACAGGTACATCTGGCGGGCAGACCCTATCGGGCGGGTTGTGAAGGCGGTCCAGGACTAGCAGGCGGGTTGCTGGAGCGTGAGTCATGCATGAATTGCGAAAAAAGTTTCGAGCGATAGCGCGATTCCGTTGGAATTCCGGAGAAAAGGCCAAAGCGAGAGCGTGATTCCTGAGTGTCGAGGGCGCGGCGCCTGAATGAATTGCTAAGAAATCCCACGAAAGAGCGCGATTCCTGCAGAAACTGTAAGGAAATCCCGCGCGATAACGTGATTTTGGCATACACTGTGAGGAAATATCCGGCGAGAGCCGCTGTTGTTGTAAACCGGGGGCCAGGGGCACAGTTTGAGCAGGAATATGTTCCATGATTCAAACAGGGTGCGACCCCTGGGCCAGAAGGAGCACTCTCATTGAAAAACACCATGTGCACCGGCGAGGGAGATCAGCAATACATATTTGTCAAGGACAACAGCAGCAGCCACAACAAGAACAGCAACAACAACAACAATCATTTTAAGACTGTTCGCTCTTACTTGCCCGCGTGCCATGCAACGTGTATACCCACGCCCTCGATACCCGCCCCCTTCGTCCTCGAGCGTACCCCCTTCTGGGGGGATTCTTTCTTTTTGCGGGGGCGGGCGGGCTTAGACAAGCGGGCGTGAACGGGCGGGGAATTGTTCGGAGGATGGGGCACGCATCTCTTTGCCCACCATTGGAATTAGCGCGGGCCCTGCAAGAAGAGGAAGGGGGAGAACGAGGGAGAGTGGGAGGAAGGGAGGGGGAGGGACGAGGCTAAAGGGGAACACGCCAGGAGAGAGGGGGCGAGGAGGGGGGGGGGGGACGATTGGAGATAGAGAGACAGAGGAGGGAGGAAGGAGGAGGCTGGAGAGGGGAGGGCGAAGAGAGGAGGGAGGAGGGTTATGGGAGGAGGGTGAGGGGAGAGAGGAAGAGGGAGGAGGAGGGTGGATATGAGGGAGAGGGGAGGGAGGAGGGAGGTTGGATGGGGAGGAAGGGGCAGGAGGGTAAGAGTGTGAACGTTCGAGGAAGTCCTAGGCGAGGGCGTATTCCTCAAGGAAGAGTTGGGCGGGAGCGGGAGTCCCGAGCACATTGTCGGACGTCTAAGGCGGGAGCGCCGGTCGGGCGGGCGGACCCTGACGGGCGGGTCGGGCGGGCGGGACATTCAAACGGGATTTTTGCGTAAATTGCGAGGAAGTATTAAGCGAGAGCGCGATTCCTAAGTAAATTGCGAGGGCGTCCTTGGCGCGAGCGTGGTTCCTGAGCGTCGAGAACGCGATGCTGCAATAAATTGCTAGGAAGTCCTAAGCGAGAGCGCCATTCCTGAGTAAATTATGAGGAAGTCTCGGGCGGGAGCAGGGGTCCTGATTTTGGAAGTCTCAAGCGGGAGCGCCGTTTCTAAGTTAAATAATAAAAGTCTGAAGCGGGAGCGCCCTTCCGGAGTAAATCTTGAGGAAGTCTCAGGCGGGAGCGGGGGTCCTGAGTCAATTGTGAGGAAGTCGCAGGCGGGAGCCGTTGTTGTTGTAGTCCGGGGCCCAACAACGCAATTTGATCCGCAAGGCTTTCCCGCCTCGGGAGCTCTGGACCCCCCCCGCAACCCCTGGTCACCGATGGGGGGAACAGGCAGCGGCCCGCCTCCCCCCCCCCAGGCCTACTCCGAGATAGAGGATCATGTTCCTGGGAAGCTTTCCGGGAGCATGATTTGTTCGGCTCTCTAAGAGGTGAGACACTGGGGGCTTACCGAGGGGCGCCTTTATTTGGCCTTGTCGGCAAGCCTCTTGGAAACATGGTTGGGGCGGTGGGCGGCTGCCCAAGGAATCATGTTCCCAGAAAGCTCTGGGCAATACGATTTACCGAAGTGTCTTGGGGGCCCGCAGGGGCCTTCCCTGGGGGTCCCTTGGGGGCCTATTGGGGCTTCCGGGGGGCCTCTTGGGAGCCTCACGGGGCTTCTTGGGAGCCTCTTGATGGCCTCCGGGGGCGTCCTAGGAGCCTCTCAGGCTGGAGACCTCGAAACGTCGCGCTCTTCGGGCCCTCTTGGGTCGCTCTTGGGGCTCTCTTGGGGCGCTCTCGAGGCCCTCTTGACTGATCTGGGGGGCCTCATGGGCCGTCTCTGGGCTTTCTTGGGAGCCTCTTCGGCCGTCTTGGAGCGATCTGAAGGGCCTCTGACGCGGTCCGGGACCGTGGGGAGGCGGAACATGGGAGAGAGCAAGAATGCTTCAAAACCATTGGAAAATTAATGATTTTCGGCTTCTGGGGCCCTTTGGAGGGGCCTCTGGAGGCGCTCTTGGGGCGTTTTGGCGGCGTCGCTTCCGGGAACATGATTTCGAACGAGGCCCTCTTGGGCCTCCCTGAGGCCGTCTTGGGGGCCTCCTGGGCTGGCTTTGGGGCCCCTTGGGCCGTCTTGGGGAGTTCCGTCAGCCCCACAGGACGACGCTTTTGGGCCGTCTTGGGCCCTCTTGGGTCTCTCTTGGGCTGTCTTGGGGCTCCTCGGGGACGTCTGGGGCACTGCGAAGACGAAGCAAGGGAGTATGCGCCTTCTCGACCCGCCCTTTAAGGCATACCCGCCCGATCTACCCGTCTGGTTCTGTCACTTGCATTATGTTCCTAGCCCCCCTCCTGCTATTTTCTATCGTGTTCTATCCTACTCCCTCCCCCTTGTCCCTTCCTTCCATCCGTTCATTTTTCCCATGTTTTAGGGGCTGCGCTAAATTCGCGTGGCAAGTAAGAATGATGCACCATGATACACCCCCAAGGGGGTACGATCGACAACGGAAAGTGCGGGTATCGAGGGTTGGGGATATACGTGTTGAATGGCGCGCGAGCAGATCAGAACAAACAATATTGGAATGCTTGTGGTTGTTGCAATTGTTCGGGGGGCAACAACCCGATCTGAGCCGCAAGACTTTCCCGGGTACAGCAACTTTGAGGGTAGCTCTTTGGGAGATGTTACAGTATCGGGAGCATAGCTCGCGCGCCGTTGCCTTTGGCCCAAGGCACGCGCGCCCTATTTGCCCGGACACCGCGAGTGTTCGCTATGTGCCGGAAAGATCATTACATCGATCTTATCCTATCTTATCCGTCCACCCCTCATACTGTACCTTCACAGCAGAGCGATGGACGCAATTTGCCAGGCTATATGCCATATTTGAGCTACCAGGCTCACTTTCGACTTGGTAGCGGAGCTGGCCGCACTCTCGTGTGGTCAGCTCTTGCTCTTCTTAGCCTCATATTCTTCGGCACGATCTTCGTGACTACCTACCACCCTGCGCCACCACTCCCAGTACGTTTACGAGGATCTATCCAAGAGCAAGAAGCAACACGAGAGGTACGACGTCTAGACGACCAGACTGGTACCATATACGCTTCATCATTGCGTTACCACCAACCGCTCGGCAACGAGCTAACAGCGCAATACTTGAAGCAGGGGCGGGGAGACCCGCCAGACAGAGCGCCTCGAAGACTCGACAAGGCGCTACCCCAGCGCGACAACGCGCATCATAACCGTCCTTCGTTACACATTCTCGGGCTAGTCGTTTTCGCTATTATATGGTTCGCGCTGGGGGCAGCAATCGGACACATGCGTCGTGGAGAAAACAGCACCGATGGGCAAACACATGGCCCATATTGGGACCCTCAAGGTAATGTACCTTTTCGTGAGTACATCTACGAGGTCAACGCATGGCTCAACGTTACAAGCGGACGTATGACGCCACAGGCCCAAGCGGCCGCAATACAACGCGGCCTAGGTGGCCTAGCGAGGACACTCGCCATGAGGGTACCGCCTGACATTATCAACTATGGTGCTGACATCGATGGGGTCCACACAGACCCAGTGACCTACATCATGTTCCTCCTAAGCATGAAGTTCGAACGCCTGGAAGATGAGCGACAGCTCACTTCCGGCACACAACTCATCGACTTCCACGTGCCTCACGGGGAACGAATCGATGTCACCCTTACCCGATTCGAAATGGCCCGACTTGAGGCACAATCGGTGGGATTCGACCTTCCCAACTTCCAACTGCTAACCACTATCCTATTCCGCGCCTTAGGCGTCGGCAACCAGCGAGCCATGCAACTCTTACAGCCACTCAATCACCAAATGCCCCGAACACAACAACAGTATGATGAGTTGCTGGAGAGGATGCGTTCGATAGGCCACCTATCCGAACGGTCTCCTGGTAACATAGGATCTGTGTTTGGAAGGGGAAGGGGATCTGGTAGTGGAAATTTCTACACTACCTTGACTACTGAAGCCCAGCCTGGAAACGGGCCCTCAAGCATATGGGCCGATGACCCAGGTGAATCCACTGCGTTATTAGCAGGG